GGTCCGATCTCGCACATAGGGTCCGTCGCCTTTGTGGCAACGGATGGGTAGTCCTTATGGGTGACTACAACGCACACTTTGGGGACTCGATCCCCCACCGCATTGGGGATCTAGTGTGGCAGAGCTCGGGTTCTGTTCCCAGTGGTCTCGCCACCATCCTTGCCAGACAAGACCTTTGGGTTCCCAGCACTTTCAACAGCTGCCATTCTGGACCCAGCGAGACGTGGTTCACGCCTAATGGCCTACATGGGAGTCGCATCGATTTTATCGCCGTGCCGGTTGCCTGGTCTGCTGGGCCGGGATCCTCGCAAGTCCACCATGACCTTGACTGGGGGCAGTCGCATGTTGACCATTATGCTGTCCGCCTGGACGTTAGTTTCCTTGCTAAGTTTCTGCAACCTGGCCTGGATAAGGGACTTTCCATCGACAGGGACAGCATTTCTTCCCCGGAAGGTCAGGCCATCCTGGACTCCATCTGGCAGACTGCACCGATGCCGCCATGGAGTACCAATGTTCACCGGCATTGGGACGCTGTGGAACAGCATGTTCAACAGGCGCTCCTCCGAGCGTTCCCGACTCGCCGGGGATCTTGCCGCTCGTCGCATTTCAGCACTGACACCTGGCTAGTACGCCAGCGCAGGGTATGGCTGAGGCGCCGCCTACTGCGTCTCAAGTGCCGGACCGCCACTGTTGAACTACGGGCTGCACTTTCTTGTTGGTTGCGTGGGGTCCGCTGGAAGATCGCCCTTTTTTGTGCTGCCATTCGGAGCTCAGCTGCAAGCGTTGAAATCTCTGAAGTGATCCGTGACCTTCGGACGACCAAAGGGGAGCTTCGCACGGCAGTGCGAAGAGACCGCCTGAACCGCATTCAGCAAGCCGCCCTCGATGCCACCAGCTGTCCGACCTCCGATACGGTTGCTGCACTGCGCCCCTTAATCGGACCGCCTAAGCGTCGGTGCGGATCTAGGCGAGGTCTTCCGATGGTGTTGAACTCACTTGGAGAGCCTGCGCAATCACAGGCAGAAGCCGAGTCCATTTGGATTCGCCACTTCTCAGGACTCGAAGATGGACATACGGTTGAGCCGGTTGACCTTGCCCGAGACTGCTTCAGCCGGCAACTGCAGCGTGACCTTGAACTTCTCAGCATCGATAGAAAGGACTTCCCATCGCGATGCGAGCTTGAAATGTCGATCCGGGCGACACAGACGGCCCGGGCAGCGGGAGTCGACAATTTGCCCGGAGAGATTCTGCACTATGCGGCCTCGTCTTCCTCGCGAACCCTGTTCCAGCTTGCTCTCAAAATGGGAATGAGGATCGCCGAACCTCTTCACTTCAAGGGAGGGGCATTGCAGACAGCTTGGAAGGGGAAAATGTCGATGGCCCGCGTGGAGGCGCATAGAGGTATACTGGTGTCTTCATGTGTGAGCAAATGCTTCCACCGGACAGTTCGTAATCGCGCCGTGGGCCCGTTTGAGTCGGTGGCATCACCCATGCAGCTCGGCGGACTCCCGCATCGCCCGGTCACGATGGCGGCACAGGCCATAAGGCTGTTTCAAAGCGCGGCACTGCGCCGCAGACTCAGCTTTTCACTCATTTTCCTAGATTTGAGTGAGGCGTTTTATCGTGTCATTAGGCCATTGCTGACAGGGGCGCGATTCCACGATGAAGATTTCGCCCGCGTAGCGGCGACACTCCAGTTGGCTCCGGATACGCTGGCAGTGTTACATCGTCACCTCCAGGAGCCCTCCTTGCCGGAGGCGGCTGGAGCATCCCTATGGAACTCGATGGCATTGTCGGAAGTGTTGGAGTGTACTTGGTTCCGGTTTAGGCGGGGTGTAGACATAGTCCGCACCGACGCTGGAAGCCGACCAGGGGACACATGCGCAGATTTGATCTTTAGTTATCTCTTCGCATGTGTTCTCTCGGACCTTCGACGAGACCTACAAGCTGGAGATGTACTCACTTGCCTCCCATGGTCCGAGGAAATGCAGGGTTGCGTTCACCAGCTCCCAGCACAGAATTCCTCCCAGTCCACCCTTCCACTGCTGGATGCAACTTGGATGGACGATCTGTCGATGATGATCACTACCTCACGGGCCGGAGCACTTCAGGAGACTACCCAACAGGCTACAGGTCTCCTCCTGGACCATTGCCGCAGCCGGGGGTTAGTTCCGAATCTCGCACGTGGGAAGACGGAGGTTCTCATGGTGCCGGTAGGAGCTGGCTCACGGGCTGTTCGGGCCAATGCTTTTCGGGACGCTGATCCCGCCATCACCGTGCCCAGCTCCTACATGGGGTCTGTTCGTGTGCGCCTAGTCGGACAGTACAAACACTTGGGGGGTATCGTCCACCACTCTGGCAGAATACTCAAAGAAGTGCGTCACAGGGTTGCACTGGCACACGATGCCTTCCAAAAACACCGGTTGAAGGTGTTTTCTTCGCCTACGGTGCCAGCTTCGTCCAAGGCCACCCTGTATGATACTCTGGTTCTTTCGGTTCTCCTTCATGGGGCGGGCACGTGGATTCAGGTTGAGGCCCCCGCTATGTCGGCGTTGCAACATGCGCATGTGCTGATGGTTGCAAAAATGCTTCGCCCTCGGTTTTCGTTCCAGGAGGCCTTGCGGTTGGGTCCTGATCGTATCCTGGCTGAAGCAGGACTGCCGTCCCTTGAGATCCTGCTGCATATGGCGCGCCTCCGACAGCTCCTTCCCTGCATGCGTCTGGGTATCCGAGAGATTTGGGGCCTGGTTCATTGGGATGGCCTCTGGCTGGCGGACGTGCGTTCCTCCCTCGCATGGCTCCAAGATCTTGTTGGGGACCCCGGTGTCGCCTGGACAGCCTCGTGGCCTTCCTGGCAGGATCTCATGTTGCACCACCCGGGCCGGTGGAAAGGACTTTTGCGGCGGGCGCAGTCCAAGGGCATTCTGCGTGAAGCCTGGACCGCTTCCAATCAATATGCCCAAGGGCTCCTGTTGAGACAACTCAAACACCTGGGGGGGATGTTGCATGGACCTTCCCTCGACGCAACCGAGCACCGCCATGGTTGTGCCGTGTGCCAGCAAGTGTTCTCCTCGTTCGCCAAATGGTCTGTGCATGCTTTCAAAAGACACCACAGGGTTATGACAGGCCGGGGTGTCTTGTCTGGGAACCAGTGCCAGGCTTGTCTTCGACATTTTGGGTCCAATGTACGGCTGTGTAGACACCTGAAGTTCACGCCCGACTGCCGTCTACGACTGCAACATGCTGGGTACAGTTGTGCCCCTGAACCCGGAGTTGGCAGCCGGAAGGCCGGGAAACAAGGGGACACCCAGGCCCCTGTCCTCCAGGCCGAGGGCCCCACCAAGCCACTGTTCCTTCCTACAGTTAGTGCCGAACAAGACAGGCCTGTTGCTGAGATCCTTGATTGCCTCACACACCTTGATTTCGATGGGACCCTGCTCGAGAGCACGGATGCTGATGTGTGGGCAAGACTCAAGATCTCGTTCAGCTGTGTGTGTGCCTCTACTGATCGGTTACGCCACACTGTCGAGGCATGGGACGTGATACGACAGGAGTTTGAGCCTACACTGGCTGCTCGCCTTGCTCCCTTTGTGGACTGGCTTAGGCACGCTGATCTCGTGGAATGGCTTATCCCTACTCCTGTGCAACCCGACCCTGTCTTGTGCACATTCAGAGACAGCACAGCTGCTTTGAGCATGCTGGATCTGGATCTAGTGCAACTCCCAAGGCCTTGCGTCCCTCCCGAGGTTGTAACTGTTGTCATTGCGCCCTCCTCTTGGTCAGCGTGTGGCCAGCCAGAGTTCTGGCGCTCGGCCGTACTGTGGTCGCATGAGGAGTGTCTCCGCGGCATCGAGGAAGGGATCTCACCTTCGTTCTACGAGGGTCCCTTTGATGGGACACGGTTCATCATAGTGACTTGTGACCTGCCGTCACTTTCTGAGCAGTGGTCTGCAGATGCCACAGCCACCCAATCCCATCGACGGCTGAGGGAAGCTTGTTTCTCTGGGGATCTCCTGCGTTTCTTCGTTCGCCTTTTGGGCCTAGGCGTCGATGCTGCCTTGATTTCCCCTGCACAGTCCGAGCCGTGTCTCTCTGCGATATCTTCGCTGACCCAGCTCCGATCCATCACTTGGCACACGTACAGGGTGCTTGTCGGTGATGGGGAGCCGGGGTCTTTTGTGTTTCACTCCTTTCTTAATTAAATGCAGTCAACCGGGCTGCGTCCGCTCAACGGATCTCTATGCCCCAAATGCGAGAAATGCGAGAGGATATAGCTATGTGTGTGTGTGCTTCTGTGTGTGAGTGCGTGTATACAAAACTTAGAAACAGTGCAACACATGTCATGAAGGGCATCCCCATGGTATGGGTCGCGCTTTATGCTTCCACTCGAACTGCACAATGCAGACGCGTTGTAAGTTGTCACACTACCAGAGGACGGCTTCCCTTTGCTGACGTTAACAAATCTCTGTTTTTCGTGTTCGGTGGCCAGCCGCAAGCAGCTGCATGCTGGCGGCGTTTGCCCCCGTGCCATACTCAGAGTTTTGCGTGTGAGGGAAGTGCTGACCCAAGTTCATGGTGACGAATGCCATGTCTGGCGGAAGCTGCGGACCGCAGGGCGCTTGAATTCTCGTTCGGTATTCTATCCATGTATGCGTTCATCTGTCCATCTGCTTCAATGCTGGCTGCCATGGGGTTCTCCATCGTGGGGTTGGCCACGACGAGACTTCTTGTCATGGGCTCTTGTTGTGTGTGCTTCCGCCCGGTTTCCGTAATTGAGTGGGTCGTATGGCGTCATGGCCGCTGCTGCAGCATCATGGCATTTTCGAAGCATGACGCACGAATCTCCGAAATCCTCATATGAGGTAAACGTCGGATCCAATATGGCGATGATGTAATATGCGCCATGCAATCCCAATATGTGCTTCATGCTATGCTGAAACTGTCAAAATGCTCCGCACAAAATCAAAGCCCCCACTTCACGAAGCCAGCAGGCTCCGGGCCCACCGGAGGGCCAGCAGCGACAGCGGGGCATTCGACGTGGTCCCGGCCATGAGAAGCGCGGGCTACGGCCAAGGCCAAGGAGCTCCATTCTAGTCGACAAACACAGCTCAATTAAGCCCTGCCTGCAGTGGGCCTTTCGATGCGAAACTAGACTCGCTTGGCTCGGAAGAATGCTTTGGCCAAACTTTGGCCAAGGTGGTCTGAGTGTGGTCTACTGGCTCAGCAGTGTGCAGGAGTTGGTCTGCCGCAGCCGCGGCATGAAAGCTCTTACGGCAATTCTTCGCGAAGTCTCCTGTCGGTCTGATGTAGTATTGTGGCGAATCCCTTGGAGCAGATGGTGCTGCTTGTTGTTACAAACCTCAACACCAGCTGCTGAGCAGAGGTTGCAAAGCCGGGTCCGTGTCTAGAATGCCTGATCTCAGTAGATGTTAGTTAGTTCAACTCCTCTCAGCATCTCTTCGGCATGCCAAACCGAATTGTCCGACGGACAGGATTCCCACAAAGAGCCCCTCAGCCCCTGCAGCGCCAATACCCCGAGGTACGGGCCTTGCCTTCTGCAAGGTGCCAGGTGCAATGGCCGATGCCGCGTACCTCAAGCTCTTCGACTGGCTCTGCAGAAACTTCGCGTTTGCATCAGGCCGAATTGCCTCTGGGTAGAAACCACAACATTTTCCACTCCACTGCAGGGAAAATCCTTGCCACAGCGTCCCACCCAGTGGCTGCTCAATCTCAAGACAAAGAGTCCTCCAAAGAATTGGCTTATGGAGTGGATACGATAGTCCGCATCCAACGACTCTAACTCTAGCAACTTGACGCAGGGAACGACTTAGCTGTCGCCTGCGTCTCGACTGCCCGAACTCTTGTGCGAGGCCAGCTGGACAGGGAAGGAAAGACCCCGCTCCACAAGGCCTTCCACTGAAAAAGGCTGCAAACAGAACCACGGGACACGGACAACTCCCCAGTAGGTTTCCGGCGCCTGGCCTGCCTGTGCTTAGCGAAGCGGGCACAGGACCATAGACCCTGATTGGGGCCAGGTTGCACGGCGCCGACTGCGGAATCAAGTGCCTTCGCCACACACCATCTGATGCAGCACGGGTGATAGTGCAGACATCGAGCCGGCGTCGAACAACCGTCTCAGCATTGCCTGGTTCATATCTAAACCAAGTCCCCGGGACTGAGACAAGGAACTTGCACCTAGGTATTCCTAGGGTGAAGCACCACCTTCAGACGGGTTGACATGGGGCTGGCTGGCTGGCTGCACCGGCATCATACCAACCAACCTCGATGCGAACCTTGCCACTATCAACCATCTGTGGAACGTGAGAACACTCCCGCTGCCCATGAGCAACCGCACAGCCAGCCGAAGAGCAAAAGGAGCCATTCGCAGGTGACAGTATCGATCACTCTGCGAGCTGACAGGAACGATTGAAGCATGTCGAGCCGCTGAAAAAGGATGTCAGCTGGACAAGCAAGTAGGAGCTGTCAACGCTGGTAAAGCGGTATAGTCTCGCCCCAGCGGACTTAGGAGGAAGGTGCCTGGAAAGTGTGCAATGGCTGCATAGGAGCCATTCAGATCTCACGCGACTATGCAAGCCTCTGTCTCAGCTCACCGACCTTCTCCTTGCACGCGTCAAGGAAGCTGCCGCTGAGGTTCATGCGAGAGGTGAGGCTGGCAACGCTGAAGAAGGTCATCCGGGAAAGAGCTCTTTCGAGGTTCATGACTTTGGTCTTGGCCACCTTGCTGGAAGTTGCCCTCATCTGGCTGATCTGCACCTGGAACAGCTGCAGCACATCTTCCGCGTCAAGCTCGAAATGTCCCTCTGCAGCTTTCGACTGCAGGCATCGCAACACCATGGACAGGAACTCGTGCTGGCTCATCTCCTTGATCAGCTGTCGCTGGCTCTTGTCCAACGTCGCGGAGCGATTGCTGTGAGACAAGTGGCAGAAGTTGCAGTCAGCCTCGTTGCTGCACTTGCCCATTGCAAAGTAAATGCACGGGCGGCGGCACAGCTCAGGGTGGCCCGCACTGCCAGGATTGCACTTCGGCTTGCTCTCCTTCGGCGACTCATCCCCCTCGAAAGTATCATTCGAAGGTATGTGGCCGACCATTGGCTCTTCGGTGGATGCATTGGACTGGAGCTCCACTTCCTTGCATGCGAAGATGGGCTCCAACTTCTTCTGGAGAGACTGCACGTACTGGCCGTCCTCCACCTGACAAGACGCAGCGCTACTGCCTCCGGTCCTAGTGTCAGAACGCCGGCCTCCTGTTCCTGGGCTGGGCACACGGGCTCAGGCCCAGCACGCCCAAGCCTGAAAGCACGGCATCGACAGGAACCTGCGTGGCACTCAAGCACCCCAGCACTTCCTGCCTTGGAGGGACGCTGGAGGCTCGGCGCTTGAGCTGCACCATGGGCTCCTCCTGCAAGAGAAGAGGATAGACTGGCGAAGACGGGCACTCAAAGCAGACACCCTGAAGCTGAACTCTTGTCTCACGCTATACTCATGCTGCCAACCCTAGCACTGCACGGCAATCTGTCGAGTCGGCAGCCTGGACCGAGATAAACGTGTTGCGGTACTCCAGCTCGAGAGACATCTCCAAATAAAGTCCGGAGCCGACCTCACGCGCCACGGTCCATCTTACGATACGCTCTCTTTGGTCGGCTCAGCAGCGTGGTGCTCAAGCCGTTTAGAGTTTGGAAGCTTACGTGAATGAGCTACGACCTACTTGTACCTCGCCGTTGCAAACCAGGCGCTGCTGCGTACTGCTGCGCAGTGTGGTGTAGAGGAGCGGCGGATGAGCTTCTGGGTTCTTGGGCCGTGGAAGACATGTCAGGCAAGCAAGACACCTGTGCAGATGAAGGCTCTTCTTCCCGCACCGAGTGCACCGACATACCATGACGAAAGCGACAGTGTTGTTTCCACTCCACTGCAGGGAAAATCCTTGCCACAGCATCCCACCCAGTGGCTGCTCAAACTCAAGGTAAAGGGTCCTCCGAAGCCCTCGGATCTTAATGATCTCCCTCCACTTTTGGCATGATGCCGCTACTACATCGAAAGGGCTCACGGAGTGGACACGATAGTCCGCATCCAACGACTCTAACTCCAGCAACTTGACGCAGGGAACGACTTAGCTGTCGCCTGCGTCTCGACTGCCCGAACTCTTGTGCGAGGCCAGCTGGACAGGGAAGGAAAGACCCCGCTCCACAAGGCCTTCCACTGAAAAAGGCTGCAAACAGAACCACGGGACACGGACAACTCCCCAGTAGGTTTCCGGCGCCTGGCCTGCCTGTGCTTAGCGAAGCTGGCACAGGACCGTAGACCCTGGTTGGGGCCAGGTTGCACGGCGCCGACTGCGGAATCAAGTGCCTTCGCCACACACCATCTGATGCAGCACGGGTGATAGTGCAGACATCGAGCCGGCGTCGAACAACCGTCTCAGCATTGCCTGGTTCATATCTAAACCACGTCCCCGGGACTGAGACAAGGAACTTGCACCTAGGTATTCCTAGGGTGAAGCACCACCTTCAGACGGGTTGACATGGGGCAGGCTGGCTGGCTGCACCGGCATCATACCAACCAACCTCGATGCGAACCTTGCCACTATCAACCATCTGTGGAACGTGAGAACACTCCCGCTGCCCATGAGCAACCGCACAGCCAGCCGAAGAGCAAAAGGAGCCATTCGCAGGTGACAGTATCGATCACTCTGCGAGCTGACAGGAACGATTGAAGCATGTCGAGCCGCTGAAAAAGGATGTCAGCTGGACAAGCAAGTAGGAGCTGTCAACGCTGGTAAAGCGGTATAGTCTCGCCCCAGCGGATTGAGGAGGAAGGTGCATGGAAAGTGTGCAATGGCTGCATAGGAGCCATTCAGATCTCACGCGACTATGCAAGCCTCTGTCTCAGCTCACCGACCTTCTCCTTGCACGCGTCAAGGAAGCTGCCGCTGAGGTTCATGCGAGAGGTGAGGCTGGCAACGCTGAAGAAGGTCATCCGGGAAAGAGCTCTTTCGAGGTTCATGACTTTGGTCTTGGCCACCTTGCTGGAAGTTGCCCTCATCTGGCTGATCTGCACCTGGAACAGCTGCAGCACATCTTCCGCGTCAAGCTCGAAATGTGCCTCTGCAGCTTTCGACTGCAGGCATCGCAACACCATGGACAGGAACTCGTGCTGGCTCATCTCCTTGATCAGCTGTCGCTGGCTCTTGTCCAACGTCGCGGAGCGATTGCTGTGAGACAAGTGGCAGAAGTTGCAGTCAGCCTCGTTGCTGCACTTGCCCATTGCAAAGTACATGCACGGGCGGCGGCACAGCTCAGGGTGGCCCGCACTGCCAGGATTGCACTTCGGCTTGCTCTCATTCGACGACTCACCCTCGGAAGGTATCTCCTCCGAAGGCGCATTCGCCGGTACGATCTCTTCGGTGGATGCATTGGACTGGAGCTCCACTTCCTTGCATGCGAAGATGGGCTCCAACTTCTTCTGGAGAGACTGCACGTACTGGCCGTCCTCCACCTGACAAGACGCAGCGCTACTGCCTCCGGTCCTAGTGTCAGAACGCCGGCCTCCTGTTCCTGGGCTGGGCACACGGGCTCAGGCCCAGCACGCCCAAGCCTGAAAGCACGGCATCGACAGGAACCTGCGTGGCACCCAAGCACCCCAGCACTTCCTGCCTTGGAGGGACGCTGGAGGCTCGGCGCTTGAGCTGCACCATGGGCTCCTCCTGCAAGAGAAGAGGATAGACTGGCGAAGACGGGCACTCAAAGCAGACACCCTGAAGCTGAACTCTTGTCTCACGCTATACTCATGCTGCCAACCCTAGCACTGCACGGCAATCTGTCGAGTCGGCAGCCTGGACCGAGATAAACGTGTTGCGGTACTCCAGCTCGAGAGACATCTCCAAATAAAGTCCGGAGCCGACCTCACGCGCCAGGGTCCATCTTACGACACGCTCTCTTTGGTCGGCTCAGCAGCGTGGTGCTCGAGCACTTTAGAGTTTAGAAGCTTACGTGAATGAGCTACGACCTACTTGTACCTCGCCGTTGCAAACCAGGCGCTGCTGCGTACTGCTGCGCAGTGTGGTGTAGAGGAGCGGCGGATGAGCTTCTGGGTTCTTGGGCCGTGGAAGACATGTCAGGCAAGCAAGACACCTGTGCAGATGAAGGTTCTTCTTCCCGCACCGAGTGCACCGACATACCATGACAAAAGCGACAGTGTTGTTTCCACTCCACTGCAGGGAAAATCCTTGCCACAGCGTCCCACCCAGTGGCTGCTCAAGCTCAAGGTAAAGGGTCCTCCGAAGCCCTCGGATCTTAATGATCTCCCTCCACTTTTGGCATGATGCCGCTACTACATCGAAAGGGCTCACGGAGTGGATACGATAGTCCGCATCCAACGACTCTAACTCTAGCAACTTGACGCAGGGAACGACTTAGCTGTCGCCTGCGTCTCGACTGCCCGAACTCTTGTGCGAGGCCAGCTGGACAGGGAAGGAAAGACCCCGCTCCACAAGGCCTTCCACTGAAAAAGGCTGCAAACAGAACCACGGGACACGGACAACTCCCCAGTAGGTTTCCGGCGCCTGGCCTGCCTGTGCTTAGCGAAGCTGGCACAGGACCGTAGACCCTGATTGGGGCCAGGTTGCACGGCGCCGACTGCGGAATCAAGTGCCTTCGCCACACACCATCTGATGCAGCACGGGTGATAGTGCAGACATCGAGCCGGCGTCGAACAACCGTCTCAGCATTGCCTGGTTCATATCTAAACCAAGTCCCCGGGACTGAGACAAGGAACTTGCACCTAGGTATTCCTAGGGTGAAGCACCACCTTCAAACGGGTTGACATGGGGCTGGCTGGCTTGCTGCACCGGCATCATACCAACCAACCTCGATGCGAGCCTTGCCACTATCAACCATCTGTGGAACGTGAGAACACTCCCGCTGCCCATGAGCAACCGCACAGCCAGCCGAAGAGCAAAAGGAGCCATTCGCAGGTGACAGTATCGATCACTCTGCGAGCTGACAGGAACGATTGAAGCATGTCGAGCCGCTGAAAAAGGATGTCAGCTGGACAAGCAAGTAGGAGCTGTCAACGCTGGTAAAGCGGTATAGTCTCGCCCCAGCGGACTTAGGAGGAAGGTGCCTGGAAAGTGTGCAATGGCTGCATAGGAGCCATTCAGATCTCACGCGACTATGCAAGCCTCTGTCTCAGCTCACCGACCTTCTCCTTGCACGCGTCAAGGAAGCTGCCGCTGAGGTTCATGCGAGAGGTGAGGCTGGCAACGCTGAAGAAGGTCATCCGGGAAAGAGCTCTTTCGAGGTTCATGACTTTGGTCTTGGCCACCTTGCTGGAAGTTGCCCTCATCTGGCTGATCTGCACCTGGAACAGCTGCAGCACATCTTCCGCGTCAAGCTCGAAATGTCCCTCTGCAGCTTTCGACTGCAGGCATCGCAACACCATGGACAGGAACTCGTGCTGGCTCATCTCCTTGATCAGCTGTCGCTGGCTCTTGTCCAACGTCGCGGAGCGATTGCTGTGAGACAAGTGGCAGAAGTTGCAGTCAGCCTCGTTGCTGCACTTGCCCATTGCAAAGTAAATGCACGGGCGGCGGCACAGCTCAGGGTGGCCAGCACTGCCAGGATTGCACTTCGGCTTGCTCTCCTTCGGCGACTCATCCCCCTCGAAAGTATCATTCGAAGGTATGTGGCCGACCATTGGCTCTTCGGTGGATGCATTGGACTGGAGCTCCACTTCCTTGCATGCGAAGATGGGCTCCAACTTCTTCTGGAGAGACTGCACGTACTGGCCGTCCTCCACCTGACAAGACGCAGCGCTACTGCCTCCGGTCCTAGTGTCAGAACGCCGGCCTCCTGTTCCTGGGCTGGGCACACGGGCTCAGGCCCAGCACGCCCAAGCCTGAAAGCACGGCATCGACAGGAACCTGCGTGGCACCCAAGCACCCCAGCACTTCCTGCCTTGGAGGGACGCTGGAGGCTCGGCGCTTGAGCTGCACCATGGGCTCCTCCTGCAAGAGAAGAGGATAGACTGGCGAAGACGGGCACTCAAAGCAGACACCCTGAAGCTGAACTCTTGTCTCACGCTATACTCATGCTGCCAACCCTAGCACTGCACGGCAATCTGTCGAGTCGGCAGCCTGGACCGAGATAAACGTGTTGCGGTACTCCAGCTCGAGAGACATCTCCAAATAAAGTCCGGAGCCGACCTCACGCGCCAGGGTCCATCTTACGACACGCTCTCTTTGGTCGGCTCAGCAGCGTGGTGCTCGAGCACTTTAGAGGTTAGAAGCTTACGTGAATGAGCTACGACCTACTTGTACCTCGCCGTTGCAAACCAGGCGCTGCTGCGTACTGCTGCGCAGTGTGGTGTAGAGGAGCGGCGGATGAGCTTCTGGGTTCTTGGGCCGTGGAAGACATGTCAGGCAAGCAAGACACCTGTGCAGATGAAGGTTCTTCTTCCCGCACCGAGTGCACCGACATACCATGACAAAAGCGACAGTGTTGTTTCCACTCCACTGCAGGGAAAATCCTTGCCACAGCGTCCCACCCAGTGGCTGCTCAAGCTCAAGGTAAAGGGTCCTCCGAAGCCCTCGGATCTTAATGATCTCCCTCCACTTTTGGCATGATGCCGCTACTACATCGAAAGGGCTCACGGAGTGGATACGATAGTCCGCATCCAACGACTCTAACTCTAGCAACTTGACGCAGGGAACGACTTAGCTGTCGCCTGCGTCTCGACTGCCCGAACTCTTGTGCGAGGCCAGCTGGACAGGGAAGGAAAGACCCCGCTCCACAAGGCCTTCCACTGAAAAAGGCTGCAAACAGAACCACGGGACACGGACAACTCCCCAGTAGGTTTCCGGGGCCTGGCCTGCCTGTGCTTAGCGAAGCTGGCACAGGACCGTAGACCCTGATTGGGGCCAGGTTGCACGGCGCCGACTGCGGAATCAAGTGCCTTCGCCACACACCATCTGATGCAGCACGGGTGATAGTGCAGACATCGAGCCGGCGTCGAACAACCGTCTCACCATTGCCTGGTTCATATCTAAACCACGTCCCCGGGACTGAGACAAGGAACTTGCACCTAGGTATTCCTAGGGTGAAGCACCACCTTCAGACGGGTTGACATGGGGCTGGCTGGCTGGCTGCACCGGCATCATACCAACCAACCTCGATGCGAACCTTGCCACTATCAACCATCTGTGGAACGTGAGAACACTTCCGCTGCCCGTGAGCAACCGCACAGCCAGCCGAAGAGCAAAAGGAGCCATTCGCAGGTGACAGTATCGATCACTCTGCGAGCTGACAGGAACGATTGAAGCATGTCGAGCCGCTGAAAAAGGATGTCAGCTGGACAAGCAAGTAGGAGCTGTCAACGCTGGTAAAGCGGTATAGTCTCGCCCCAGCGGACTTAGGAGGAAGGTGCCTGGAAAGTGTGCAATGGCTGCATAGGAGCCATTCAGATCTCACGCGACTATGCAAGCCTCTGTCTCAGCTCACCGACCTTCTCCTTGCACGCGTCAAGGAAGCTGCCGCTGAGGTTCATGCGAGAGGTGAGGCTGGCAACGCTGAAGAAGGTCATCCGGGAAAGAGCTCTTTCGAGGTTCATGACTTTGGTCTTGGCCACCTTGCTGGAAGTTGCCCTCATCTGGCTGATCTGCACCTGGAACAGCTGCAGCACATCTTCCGCGTCAAGCTCGAAATGTCCCTCTGCAGCCTTCGACTGCAGGCATCGCAACACCATGGACAGGAACTCGTGCTGGCTCATCTCCTTGATCAGCTGTCGCTGGCTCTTGTCCAACGTCGCGGAGCGATTGCTGTGAGACAAGTGGCAGAAGTTGCAGTCAGCCTCGTTGCTGCACTTGCCCATTGCAAAGTAAATGCACGGGCGGCGGCACAGCTCAGGGTGGCCCGCACTGCCAGGATTGCACTTCGGCTTGCTCTCCTTCGGCGACTCATCCCCCTCGAAAGTATCATTCGAAGGTATGTGGCCGACCATTGGCTCTTCGGTGGATGCATTGGACTGGAGCTCCACTTCCTTGCATGCGAACATGGGCTCCAACTTCTTCTGGAGAGACTGCACGTACTGGCCGTCCTCCACCTGACAAGACGCAGCGCTACTGCCTCCGGTCCTAGTGTCAGAACGCCGGCCTCCTGTTCCTGGGCTGGGCACACGGGCTCAGGCCCAGCACGCCCAAGCCTGAAAGCACGGCATCGACAGGAACCTGCGTGGCACCCAAGCACCCCAGCACTTCCTGCCTTGGAGGGACGCTGGAGGCTCGGCGCTTGAGCTGCACCATGGGCTCCTCCTGCAAGAGAAGAGGATAGACTGGCGAAGACCCGCAAGACGTCCTTCACATGACGTGATGCATGGTCTTTCTCTCCCGCTTGTGCTTCGGCAAGCTCTTCCCTGCAGCCTCCTTCCACCCTCCAATCTAGCTCCTTCCGTTACCCGTCTCTTTCTTGTCTACAGGGCTTGGGTGTTTTGGGCCTTCGGGCTCCGCGCCCTTACCACCTTCGCCCGTGGCTTTGTCCCCCACGGTCCCCCACGAGAACATCAAGTTCCAAGGCGGTGGCTCGCAGCAGCGACTTGCCAGAGTTTTTCTGTGAGTGCAGGTGGCGAGGTATAAAGCTCCTGCTTAAACTAGTTGCCTTCGACGTGTTCCTGCTATATTCCATGATATGTTGCACAAAAGCCGCCTTGAGCTGCACGGATCTTCGGCGTTGCGCTGGGTTCCAAATAGTGGTGCTAGGGGTTTGGCCCAGGAGACGCATTGCAAAGCCACTCAACAGTCCGACTCGACAGTGGGCTTGGCTTTTCTTTCAGGGTGATTCTCACAAGCTGGCAGCCTGGATGCAACCTGCCACTAAACACGGAATCCGAAAGGAACTCCAAACCCCGAAATCAACAATACATGCACACAAGGCTCGGCAAATCGACCTCCGAGCCCTTTACAGGAGCAGAAAGATAAAGGGTTGATATGGCGACAACCTGCAAAAACATCACCTTCCAGTGCACTGAACCTCGCGAGTTTGAGTGGGGAATCGGAAAGCAGGACTGTACGTTCCTCAAAACAAATATGATTGTGTCATGCCATGTCATGCCCGTGGCCGGTAACATCGGAAGGTCCTTGCCTGGACGGTGATGAAGGTGTTGCGATACTCCAACTCGAGAGACATCTCCTGGAAAGCTGAAAGCAAACTGCCCGCGGCATAATTCAGCAGCCCAACAGCTAGACTCTGTGCGTACGCGTGTGCGTGTCCGTGTGCAACCCACGTAAACATGTGAGGGAGAACCGTACTCCTGCGTGATAGACTTGTCCGGAACGAAGATCGATAGTACCTAGGCTGCACCGTTTCACACTCTACGTTTTGGGCAGGTCATCATGCTTTGCAAAGCCGTGATGCCGTTCGACCGGTGAAAGAGCAGGCGAAGAGCTTCGGTGTTCTGAAGCCGAAAAGAAACGGTTTGATCACAGCGACTTCAGATCGAAGAGAAACGTGCCGTGCAACGTGTTCGGCCTTTTTGCATTGACGGGAGGTCCTGCAAGAGAGTTCCGGTGGTCTCCGATCCGAGGGAGGGGATTTGCCCGGCCTCCCCGGTCAGAGAGCATCCGAGATTGGAACGTGGCAACTGATGCCGGACTGCTTTTTCAAAGTTGCTTAATCAGTTGACTTCAACCTGTAGGCGTGCTCCGAGCACGTCGACATTCAATCAAGCCCAGGCAGCTGTTGCAAAGAGTTCTTCTGTACCTGCAGTTTGGGGCGGCAAAGGCACTGTCCGAGTTGCTGGCAACGCCTGAGGCGCCTCCTAGCCGGTTTCCAAGAGTCTGGAGATGGTTGCTTCGCTTCTGCTCTCATGATCGGTGCTCGGGTATCTCCAAGGCACCGACTTTGGGATGACTAGCATATGCCTACCTACCGACATGATCGTTTGAGACAGTGAACAAGATGGGTGACTTGCACGCTAGAAGAGCAGGGAGCAAGAGGCAAGCTTCGTTGTGAAAACTGACATCGCGAGGAGAGTCCATCAAGGATATTCCCCACGAGGAAGGAAGCAAAGGTTGTGATAAGCCACTGGAAACCTTCACCCCTTCCCGTCACTAAAGTCTGGAAAGATCGAAGGAGATTCCGGCACCAGGCAAATCCTGTTAGGCCTGATGCAGCAGACATCGCAAAGATTAGCTTCATGCTACTTTCTGTCGCAGGAAGGCGACCTTCTCCTTGCACAGCTCGATGAAGCCTGTATCAAAGCTTCCGCGAGACGTGAGGCTGGCGACGCTGAAGAAGGTCATCCGCATCAAAGCCTTCTCGAGGTTCATGATTTTGGCCTTGGGCACCTTGCTGGGAATTGCCCTCAGACGGCCCATCTGCTCCCTGAAGAGCTGGAGCACATCTTCTGCATCAAGCTCGAAACGTCCCTCTGCGGCCTTCAACTGCAGACTCTGCAGCAGCATGGACAAGAAGTCGTGCTGGCTCATCTGCCTGATCACCTGGCGCTGGCTCTTGTCCAACGTCGCAGAGCGATTGTTGTGAGACAGGTGGCAGAAGTTGCAGTCAGCCTCGTTCATGCATTGGCCGAGTGCGAAATAGATGCAAGGGCGGCGACACAGCTCCGGATGACCCGCACTGCCAGGATTGCACTTCGGCTTGTCCTCCATCGGTGACTCACCACCCTGAGAAGCTATATCCTCTGAAGGCACGTGGCCGACCATTGGCTCTTCGGTGGATGCATTGGACTCGAGCTCCACTTCATTGTAAACGCAGATTGGCTCCCACTTTGTGTGGAGAGACTGCACGTAGTGGCCGTCCTCCACCTGACAAGACGCAGCACTGCACCGAGGAGAACTACGAAGGAGGACACTGCCTCCGGTCCCAGTGTCAGAACGCCGGCCTCCTGTTCCTGGGCTGGGCACACGGGCTCAGGCCCAGCACGCCCAAGCCTGAAAGCACGGCATCGACAGGAACGCGCTTCGCAGTAGGGCTCGCTGTCTAGCCAAATCGGGGCTCCAACTTCAACTTCTGCTGGAGGTACTGAACGTAGCGGCCATCTTCGACCTCCATCGCATTGCATTCGAGTCTTACATCAGCGCGACTGTGGGGTTCCATCCCAATGGACTTTTCTGCACCTCGTTCTCTTGGGCTTCGCACAGCTCGGCAGCAGACGGCCTTCGACGCCATTTCGAGTTGCTCTTTGGGCTTTATAGGAGTTGTGCCACTCGACAGAGGGCGCGCTCAAATTTGAGGAGTTGAGTACCGACAGACCCTGTCAAGAGAGCCCACCGAAAAAAAAACCAGCCCGGCACCCAGAGTCGCTACATCCTACACGACATGCTGAAATCCAGACATCTAGAGCTCAGCCTGAAAAACAAACAGCAAAGCAAAGCCGCAGCCTCGGTGGGACGCTGGCAGCGCGGCGCTTCAGCTGGACAACGGGCTCCTCCTAAACAGCTAATTTGCTTCCTCGTCTTCTGAAACTCCGAAGATGAAAATAAACGAACATGCTGAAGGTAGTGACATGACTGCAGGGTATTACGAACGGTGATAGTCACATGAAGTTACGATTGCAACGACAGTGGTTGGCAATACCAGAATGCAGTGCTGAAAGTACTGCAACACGACTATACTAACATATACGAACAATGGCGGTAGGCCTGTAATCATGACAACATTCGCAGACAGTGATAAAGCTGATGACAAAACAGGGAGAAAACGAAAATGTCTGAGTGATAAAGGGTCGGACAGCCCATGCAGCAAGAACGGCTGTACACGACAAGTGGCAACTTCGAAATACAGCCTGGACATGTTTCAGTGGTTGATGGCCAATAGTTCCGGTTGGGTAGATGACAGCCTTTGCCAGAAATCCTGAAGTCTCATAGGTACAGGCTCAGGCTAGTGTGGAGCTTGCCTTGCTCCTGCTGAACTGTCCGGAATGACAGAACGGCAGCTTCCGGTTTTGCGTGGCTGAGACTGAATGTATCTGGCAAACAAACAAAAGCTGTCGCCGTTCGAGCCAGTGGGCCGGAGAACCTGTAGCTGATTGTGCTGGGATCTCTGGATGTCGGCTGTCGCGACATACTCTCAGCTCGAACAAACACTTGCTTGCATTCCTCTCTGTCATCCTTCGTGGGGTTGAGATGCTGGGGTCTTGGTGCCGTGTCGCCCTGCAGATGCGGATAAAAGCGCACGTGGATTGATCTTCCTCTTCCTCGGCAGTGATGAAGGTAAAGCGGTAGTGCAACGCTAGAGCCATCTCCTGCCATCAAGGGCTGTCTCAACTTGGTTAATCAGTGCTTCTCCACATATGAATGTGTGGATGATGCTGCACCCCGCAGCCATCTGCGCATACGGTAGTACTTGGTACTCCTCACATTCAAACTCGTGCTGCCCTTACAGAGGTTTGACAAGAAGCCTTTGTCTTGGCGTTTTGGGGGATCGCCCGGATTGAACTGTTCGAGTGCGACTTATCCCGTCATATGCCACGACAATAGTTCGCCTTGTACCCTGAACGGCGAACGCACAGACAGTTCATAAACACCACAGGCCCGCATTCATTGTGCACAATACCTTTGAACAAAAACCTATCTTCCCGAAACAATATGAGTCCAGTCTTTGACCCCTGCAACGCTTGCAATCACCACGTAACCAACCCGCTGCTTCAATCCTCAAAAGCATGCCCTACTGCAACTCCGACTACATAGCCTCAATATTTCCAGTTGAAGCACATAGGAGTCATTTCCATCAAGGCCCTGGGCCCTAGGCCTCATCCCTGAGAACCAAAGTGTCTTGATCTTCAACTTCAAGCCACGAAATTTGGTACCAAGACCGCTTTTTTTCCAATACTCACTAAGTAAGCCCAAACACCAGAGATGCTAGCTAGTTGTTCAAACCTTGATATTGCTCTGTGACCACCATTCTGAGCCCAGGGAGGGACGAGCACAAAAGTCTGCCCACTGCCCACATATTTAGCAACAATGTCGCCAGACGTCGGGCAAGCCTCGGCTGTCCTTGCTGTCGCAGCGCAGTAGCTAGCGGTGCGAAGGGCCGTCTACGGCTTGAACTTCGTTTTCTGCTCAGGCATAGAAGGACACTGTCCTCAAGCGTCTAAGGCCTAAGGGACCAGTCTCAAGCCTGCGAGGGGCAACAAGTACTCGATTACAACAGAGTGACAACGGTGCACGGAGCTGCGGGCGCACAGCACGCGATTGGCTAGCGAGGCTGGCAGCTCCAATGCCTCAGACTGGAACTCGGGACTTATCCATTCCGGCCAGATTAACTCGGTAGCCACACCCGCGAAAGCCCCCCTTCCGAGACCCAAGCAAGACTCTCTGCGTTTGCGGTCGTTGGCTCAAACTCCACATCGAGTCCAGCACTCTGAATGGCGGCCTTGGAAGCACCCAAAAGAAAAGATCCTGTCCCACATAGCTCGGTGACCCGCGACTCCTGACTCCACTTGCGACCGAGGTCCTTTCCGTTGTGCCACGGCCCACCTGGTGAGACAACAACAGTACAGCAACAGGTACGTGTCCTCAAAGAACCGCTTCGAGCACTTAGCAGATTACAACTTTATCCCGATGGTTTCTTTAGACATTCCAGCTGCCAAGTTAACATGTACAATCTCACCACAGATGCTGGGCATCAGCAACTGGAAGCACAGGAAACGGACGAAGAGGGAGGGAGGAGGCCAAAGACGAAGAAGAGGACCGATCATCATGGCGCATCATGGTTTGGAGCCTGAAAACCTGCTGGTCCATGAGTCGTTTCACAATTCAACTTTTGTGAGTAGTTGTGTACTGCGACCCTGGCCAGCCACTCTGAGCTTCCAGCTGATGCTATCCGCAATGGAAAAGACGAGCCCGAACTCGCAAGGCGAACGATCCAGCTCTCCCAGCTCTCTGCCCGGCCCAGACGAATCCCAGCCCTCGTGTAGAGAGGACCCGACTCTACCGACTCAGCAGTCTCATTCTCAGATCCGAAACTTACCTGGGGCAAGCATGCTCCGGCATGGTACCGTTCCTGGCGGCTCCGTTCCAAGCTTCAGCAAAAACTCGAGCAGCCTTGCGAGCGCGGAGACCGTGTTCACGGGCCAGCGACAAGCGGGGGCCTAGTTCCAACATCGATGGTATGTATGATGTAACGAATATATGCATAGATGCATCCGTACATACATCCATACATCTAGCCATCCATCCATACACACATACATGCAGCCGTTACCTGGCCACTTCCTGAATAAGAGCCCATGGCCAGTAAGTGAGCAATTGAACATTGGATTCTTAGATGCGGGACCAGAGATCCGGAAGGCGGCAGAACAAGAGAAGCAAAGGCCGGAAGCAGATCCGGCGATCAGGCCTCGCCTCCGGGGACGTGAGCACGACGAGAACCTACGCACGGTCGAGTGTGGACACTTCACATCTTTACGTGGCCGCACCACAACAACAATAACAACCATAACCATAGCCATGACCGGAACCACAACCACGGCCACAGGAACAGCAACAGCAGCAGCAGCAGCCAGAGCAACAGCAACAGCAACAGCAACAGTAACAACAGCAGCAGCAACTGCAAAAGCACTGCCGTAAGAACAAATCGGTATTGTAGTACTAGTTCCTCATCACGACAACCAACGCCCACCGCGGCTAGCACCGGAGGCTGGGTTCCAAAGGAATTATAGAAGCTCGTTAGAGGCCAGCCACAGCAGCTACAACAGGAACTGGCCCCTCGTGAAGAATGAGTGAATGACTCAGCGAATGAACTCTATGCACATCTTTAGGCTCTGTACATTCAAAACGCACAAAGACAAAGATATGATGTACACCCAGACATATACATACATGCCATCTAGGCATGCACGTGCCCGCATATACAGACCGATCAGCACATGCATGCAACCTCGTCCTTCTGTGTCTGACCAGCAGCCTCCGGGGTGTGCGGGACCACGGCACAAGTTCTTCAGAGGACTGGACTTGCTAACGTGCCCTCACACTGTACCGTCTGTGAGCAGAGTGAGTCTCGCCAAAACCACCGGGTCTCCGACAGCGTTGGACATGAAATCCTGCGGCTCGAATCTCTCAAGAAAAGATTACAACATCCCTCGTTTCCTGAGCGAGTCTCACGCAGACGATAAACAACAGCTGTGACGCAATGCTAAATCAGAGGCGCAAGACAAGAGTCTCGGCGCTGCACATGGGAAGAGATGCAAACATCAAGCCATGGCTGGAGCACACATGAGTACACACAGTGTCCTGCAAGCGTTCAAAGTCAGGACCGCGAGCATGCTCGATGCAAGGGACCTGCATCGGCTTCGAGTCCCGGCCACAACTTCACCCGCAAGCCCCATTCGACACCTCGACACCTTCTCGCGTCTTCAACCCGCGTCTTCAGAGCTCAGGACAGGGCTTGCCGCGCCGCTTTACGAAGCGTGGACAGATTCGCGTACATGTTTGTATGTGTAAATACTCTATCCCGATGAAACATAAATACATACAATATATGTATATATATATATATATATGTATATATACGTACATATATATATATATATATATATATATGTAGTGTCTATTGCTTTGAAAACAGCAGGGTGGGAGCGAGGAGTGCGAGAGAGAGAGAGAGAGAGAGAGAGAGAGAGAGAGAGAGACAGAGAGAGAGAGAGAGAGAGAGAGAGACAGAGAGAGACAGAGAGAGACAGAGAGAGACAGAGAGAGACAGAGAGAGACAGAGAGAGAGAGAGAGAGAGACAGAGAGAGAGAGAGAGAGAGAGAGAGCGAGCGAGCGAGCAGGAGCGAGCAGGAGCGAGCAGGAGCGAGCAGGAGCGAGCAAGCGAGCAGGGAGAGAGGGAGAGGACAAGGGACACAGACCAGAGGCATAGGGAGATGTCTCTTTTGGATCCGCGCTTTTTGGTATGGAGCTTCGGGAGGTTTACAAACCACTTCTAAACCCACTACAGTGACTACAGGGACTGCGATAGGGTGTCACGGCTCGCGGACTGTCACCAGACTGAAGACGAAAGAGGGGCCACAAAAAATCAATTAGACGTATGGCACCGGCTATTTCAGCCTGATCGACACCAGGAAAATCGGAAACTCCCAGCAAAGCCTCTGCAAAGCTCACCCTTTCGGCTGCCAGGTTCGCCTGGCCCAAGGCCTCACGCTCAGTGGTTCACAGTTCTAAGCCAGCCTAAATTCTTATGCGAACACATGTGGAGATGGACAACACAGCGAAACAAACAGAGAAACACAAAGACACGCAAGCATAAAGCCATAGTTGTACACACAGATGTGTGCCTCCAAACACGCAAACGAGAAAGCAAGGCGAGCACATGCTCCTGCATGCATACATATATAAATCCATACATGCTGAAGTTCGTTCACACATGTGTGCATGCACATGCATAAAATTATGCATGTGTGTATGCAGAAGGCAGGCGCCTCTGTGCGTGTACGTCCACATGTATGATGCCTGTAAGGGCTTGTGTATGCACACGTACATGTGATAGATTTAGTTGAGTCACGTTCTGTTGTATGACCTTACATCTTCTCCTGCTATGACGTACCATGCGAACTTGTCTCATAATGCACTATGCCGCTTTATGAGATGATGCGCTATGCAGCTGGGTCATGTCCTGTTGCGTTGTGCTGTGTTGTCTTGTGTCGTACTACGTTCTGCTATGTTTTCTTAAGTTGTCTTCTGCTGTCCAGCTTGATCTCATCAAACTGAATATGGCGTAATCCGAAATCAGAGAATATGATACGAAATCACGAACACATAGGTGTGTGAATGTGTGTGTATGCATATATACTTTATACACATATATACATACATACATACATACATACATACATACATATATATATATACATATATTTGTATGTATATATATATATATACAACGGTATATGTACGCACATATATGTCAGACATTTATACATAAACATGCATATATATATATATATATGTGTGTACATGTATACCCATGTACAAATTAAAACATGTTTCTCCATAAATATAAACATAGATATATATATATATATATATATATATATATGCATACACATATACATATACATATACATATACATATACATATACATATACATATACATATACATATACATATACATATACATATACATATACATATATATCCGATGCATATCTACATCTGTACATGGATTTGATACATCACATAGATAAATATGCACAGATGTACATAATATGTTCTTGTGTCCGTGCATGCCTGCGTGTCTCAGGGTATATCGGTGTACCCGTACTGTAGATAGATACTACGCAGTTAGTTATGCACATATTTGCATGATGCACAGGTCCACAACTCAATACGCACATAGATACTCAAAGTACGAATAAACCTGTGATATGTAGATATAAATATACCCATATGTATATAAATACAGAAGGGTCGATCCTGGGGCCTGCGTTTGTGTATAAGGAGTTTTTGAAGTTACGTAGGCCTTTGGATCGGGCTCGTGATGCTTACTTGCTGCTCTTAACCTTCTGTTCACGCATCTTTTGTTGAATTGATTGATGTCTGTATCGTCCTTGTCAAGGATTCTTGTCATGGATTCTTGTCGTGGTGTGTTGGTTTGTTAAATTTGTTTTAGTTTTCCTTTACTGTGTTTATAAACACGACGGCTGTTTATAAACACAGGCGCTGCTTATAAACAAACGCTTCGCTCGAGGTAGGGTGGGGGGCGGGGGCGCCAGAGGTCTTGGTATGGTGCGGGCAACATCCAACACCTGCCACCCCCCCCCTCCCCCCCCCCCTCACCACCAGCACCTTCACCACAAGGTACAACCGCCGACCAATCCACCATCCGCCCGAGACGCGCGCAGCCATTCCCAATTGACGCCAACCCTCAAGTCTTAAGTGCTGGTCACAAAACTTTTTCTTAATGGAGGAAAGTGTGGAGTTAATGTGAGATACCCCAAGACCTGGTTGGATAAATTGAAATCAGTAAACACTGGTATTTGCGGTGATTTCTGCTTGTCCTTCTATGAACACTTTCACGGGTTGTTTATAAATACCGGGCCGTGCTTCTAAACTTGCGAGTTGTTTGTAAACATGTGGGTCGTTTAAGCGCAACAGAAATCGGGCCCGTGTGTTTCTCTTTTGTGTATACAGAGATAAACGCACTGCAGCAGCGTGCGGCTGATACGTCCAGGCTCATCGAGTGAAACCACAAGATGTTTGTGTTTAGTATTTCAACTATACAAAATCTCTTGTAAGGCTATGTGTAGGGATGGAGAGCGTGCTACGGCCTGGACCAAACCGGTTTGAGGAACTATAGGAGGATGATCCGTTATGGCTTGGAACCGACCCGGTATCCAGTGCAGCATTTTTCACTAATCCAAATGATTTTGATCCAAATACTGGCTATTTCGAAGGGGTACGGGGTACCTTATGAACAAGGGTATCGGAAGAAGCCAGAATCGAATAAGCATCAACACAAGTAGGATTCCAGTCTAGGACAGCAGCCAGATCTTCATCGATTACAGTTTGTCTTTGGTAGTCTTTTATACAGGTACATAGGCTGAACCCGCTCACATCTTTACTTTGCTTCACCGCGCAAAAACAAGGGCCCTTATGTGCATCCACATTTCGTTAACCCTATGCCAATGCAATTCGACAGCTAATTAGGCTGAATCTCTACATTGGTGTTTCAAACACTGTTACCAACAGCGGTGTTGGCTAAGCTTGCTTTGGGTAGACAGTCCAGAGTCTTAAAGGCCCGAATATCAGAGCTGCATAGAGAAACTGTCGAGCTTATGTAGCCTACCTTAAGACGTTCTTTAGAGAGTCTTGAATTCATCGATATTTACAGCGTTTTCTGCTTGTAAGATCTGCTACACAAGAACCCAGATTAAGAGGCTCGACCTACACACTGGTGTGGAGCCTGTTGGAGAGCGATTTTGCACAGCTCGAATAAGCTGTTCCGAAAAACACTTGTGATGCTTGCTTTGTGGTATGTGCTTTACGCGACACAAAACACAAGCTCCTGCTTTGGAGCCATTAACGTTGAAAACCGATAAAAAGCACTGGAACCAAACCCAGGCCCCACAGTCGACCGCTCTCTATAAATACATACACACGGATATACACATACACACTTCTGAGCACATACAGCAACACCGAGCCTCAGCCCTTCCTGTGCAAGTCATTTGACGAAATTGCAGCTTAGTGAGCCGTTCTTTCATGTTCTTTCTTGATCGGCCATGCCGACGAGATGATCTCGTACTGCGTCGTCATACAAGGCCAGTGGAGCTGCAGAGACCGTACGGATATGTGCCGAGATCATACATCTTACAGTGCCGAAGCACAGAATCAAAAACTGTACAAAGACCGCGAGCCTAAATGCTCACAGGAAAGCACATCATGTTGTAAGTTGTAGATCGACCCCTTTTTTTCAAGCAGCCGGACCGCAAACGACCTGCATGCTGGCAAGCTAGCAACACTGTACAAGCCTTTGACAGCGCGGCTTGCAACTTGTGGTTCTCGCCAGCCTGACTGCCAGACCCAACCGTTGACTAGAAGTCTCACAACGGGCTTGCATTACAAACTCTGAAGGTGTAGTATCATCCTTCGTGGCTTTACATTCGCAAAAGCTGCCCTGTTGAGGATGCCGGCAACGACTTATCACAACATCTTGGCGACACAAGATGCACTCGGCATCGACAGTACAAGCACCGTTCGCGCCTGCCGGGTCAATGCAACATACACCTCACCTCCGGCTTTTGGAAAGCGGATATTAGAACATGCTGCATAACCGGCAGTCGGGAGCAAAACGATGCGACTACAAGGTGTCACCCCAGCACAGACCCAATGCCGATGCCCTGCCCTTCCAGGTTTGTTCTCCACCACGTCTTGCTTGTTCGACGAGACGGATGTCCATGCTTCAGATAAAAGCCCGTGCTAAAAGCTAGGAGAGAGAGACTCCAAGACTACCCAAAGTATGCACAACCTGCGAGCCTGGCGATCCGCCGCTCACTGTGGCAAATGTCCTGCCTCTCAGGACACGCAATTCCAGCTGAGAGCTCTCAAGAAGGAGGAAGCTAAGGCAGAAAGGATATGTTTCCACGGCAACCTGTAGCCCTTACGGTAGGACTGACAGAGGAACATGTTCCGACCGCATCTCCTTCGCCTGAAGCCTGGCCCTGCCCAATAACCGTGCCTGGCTGGAGTCTAAGGCTCCCACCAAGTGGTTGAGGACGCTGGATGCGAACATCCCAAGCGATGACCAAGAGTAGGGTCGCAGGCCATAGCAATCGATCAAATGCGCCAGTTTGGCGAGGGCGCATCCCGCTCTTTGCTGCTCTGCTCGCAGTTTCAGGAATGCATGGAGAAAGGATGTGTTAGAGGTGTCGACATTGCATGTTAGTTGTTCGGAAAGGTTGGTGAGTGCCAGACAGTCGTCCAGTGTTGAATAAGATAGCTGCTGGCAGCACTACTCTGACAGAACGTAAGCACCGTGACAACAGCATAGTGACACAGCTGATGTCGTCAAAGTCATAATCAGACGAAGTCCGATCTGGAAGAAAAGTGCTCAGACATGGTCAGGAAAATTTGTGATCCCTTCGCAGGAATTAACACCGTCGGTGAATCTGCCATGTCTAGTGAACCATGGTTTCAGACTCCTTCAGAGCTACTGTTTCAATCAAGCCTGGATCTCCAGATCATGCATGGCAGTTTCAGTCTGTGGCCTGGCGCTGCTTGGCATTTACACGCAGCAGGCTGGTTCTGCAGTTGCCAGAGCAGGCACCCATCCCTGAATCTCGAAGCTCACAGCCTTGGAAATCAGATCTTCAAACACGAAGCACAGCCGTAAGACCCTGCATCTTTTTGCGTCAGGGACGGCTGATTTGCAGCAGCTCTGCCCGGTTAGTTTCCAGGTAAGCTGCAGCAGTGGCCTGCAGAAACTTCCGGGATGCTCGAACTCTATGCCAGGCGGTTCGTGAAACACAAGGGGAGGTGAAGTTATGCGTTGAGTGAACATCTTCGCTTCGAACCTTTCGAGAAGGATGCTGCCTTTCTCTGGAGCTTGCAAATCTGACACATCCTCCCATTCGCCATTCTACTCTCCTCGAGGTTCTGACGTCTTTGGATCCCAGTGGCTTTGGACGGGAACAAGCTTGGACTCACGGCCTTGAAATCTTCTTTCAAGACCTCGATGTTCATCATCTCGAGTCGCATGGTCTCCGACCTCGCACGACAGTTCGAGTTGGGGCTGACACCGCCGAACCTGGAAGCCACAGACGCAGTGCAACGCTAAAGATTCAATCCCGATCGAAGCACGCAGCTGCTAACGGTTGCTTGGCCGAGGATGTGAGGGTTGAATCGTACCCCTCGACCTTGAGCCTTCTGCAACTCGTGCTTCCTTCGGATTGTCCGGAATTGTCCGGAAACTGTTGGGGAATTCCGGGTGCACCACATGGCAATTGGCTTTGATGGCAACGGTGCGGTTGATGCCTGCATCATCAGCTTTCTCAGTTCTCAGATCTTCAGCATGCTTGGGCCAAGGCTATTCATATAAGTCGCACGACTTCGTCCCCTGCCCTGGCCTAGCCAAAGTTCCTCATCCACACACAATGCCGCAGCTAGTGTCCGGAAACTCTTCACTTCATCCTTCGGACCACCAACAAATCCCGACTTCCGAGACGCCAAAGACTCGTCCCAGTGTTGCGCGGCAGCCAGCCGGCCTTGCCACTGCCCAGCACCCGATCGAAGCCCTCGTCCCCCAGCAGGGAGCGCCGGACGCGGCGCCGGAACTCCTCCGGATCGGCCTCCAGCCTTAGAGTCTTGGAGTTGTTGCTTGAGAAACACGGGCTTAGCTCATGCGGGGTTTGGGGCTCAGGGTTTCCGGACCTTGTTCTCAAAGCACAACTTTCTTGCATCTCAAGCTCCCACACGGGCAGGACATACATTACTCTCAAGCACGGATGCTCTGGCTCGTGTCAGAGCCCTCTCGGTCATCCACCCCATAGCCCCCCTTGGCGAGAATCTTAGGAAAACCCCTTAGCTTCTTTGCCAATCCGAGGACATGCTACGAGGAGCAGTCGAAACTAGTTCAGACATCCTACCCCCACTTCCGAGTCATGGGCAGTGCCGATGCCTCGTTGTTCAAGGCATTCGCCACGCTGCAGGGTGCCTTGACCTCGGTCAAGTGACTCGCCATCCATCCAAGAGGAGTCCCACTCTGCACTGCCCTGAACTGCAAGTGCTCTTCTCCGCTCCAGGTGTGCGGCCATCTGCGTCAGCGCCACCAGGAATGACCCCAAACGAATCTTGCCAGCAACACATGCTCCAAGTCAAGAATTGCTGACTGTGCTTTGCATACACATCTCGAAGGTTCTGTCGGCTCCAAGGTCACTGGCTGCAGTCATCGCGAATACTACCCCCCACATCATCAACGATAATAACCATTAACAGTGCTGCCATCATCGAAGGCAACTTTCTCATCTTCGGCACCCTCGTCGTCGTCGTCATCATCATCGTCATTATCCCCGTCATGATCAGCAGCATCTTCTTGTCATTGTCATCACAGTCACCATCAGCTCTCCAGCATAAGCATCATGATCAAGTCGATGGTAATGATAGCCACAATACTGTGATGCAATGTTGATGCCCCGGTATGTAGTTGCCGTCGGTGCTTCGCCATTTGCGTTTGCACACGGAAAACGAGCCGGAGAATCACACCGACCGGCCTCCTGTGACCCGTCTCCGACCTCGGTATCGTGACCTGGCCACGAAGTACATTTTGTACATGTTGGCACAATGCTGCCGAAACAAAGCGCTACTGCGGGGGAATGAGTGCTAAAGGAACTCTCCCCGAAGTGTAGACTGAAAAGCTCACTGCTGGCAAACCCGATGGAGGGAGCTTTGCAGCAAGCCTCATGTTCAAACGCTTTTCATCTTGTGTACATCTTGGGATTCAACCTTGCCCAGCTAGAGCCGTTTGGTCCAGGAATTGCAATTCTCATGGAACGACCTTCACGATCCAAAACATCACCTCCAGCGCTGATTCCCGTCCTGGAAACGCTGTTGCGCCGGTTCGCGGGTCGATGCACGGATGGAAGATTCCTGGCTCTCAATGTCTGGGCTTCGAGAGCTTGGGGCCACACCTCATGGCTGGTAACTCGGGCGATTCTGGGTTCGGGTTGAGCAGTGCCCAGAAGCCTGAAGAGTACCCGACTCAGCTCTCAAAACCGACATCTTCTGGCCAAAAACAGACCAAAACGGCAGCTTTCAGGTTCAGCAGGCGAAACAGATCCAAACCCGCTGGGAGTGCGCTTGGTACAGCGGATGCTGACAGAGCCGGGCAGCGGGTACTCCTCGAAGACCTTGACCTGAGGGTGTGGATTCCAGGCGGAGGCACGCTACAGCGTGTCAGACGAACGGAAGACGCAGAGTACCGCTGGCCCAACGGCCAACAATGAACCCAACATCCAAAAATGTCAATGTGGAGAGCCCTCGGGCTCAGAAGTTGCCTCGTGGCCAGCTCCAAGAGGCATTGCAATGAAAGTAAGGACCACTGACCACTGCCCCAAATCGAAATGAAAAAATGCTAAGCGCTGCGCCCAAAATGTCAGCGTCGCGGGCGTGTATGGTCCCTGCATGGGCGTTAACAAGCGCAAGCCGTCAATAATTGCACGTGGGCAAGCTTCAGAAGGCTGGAACTTCGCCAGAACAGCATGGCTGTGCGCTTCGCACCTCGGCCACATCCATGGTGTAGAAGAGCTGCGCGAAGGCTGCTTGGGTTGGCCTCACAGCGGTGGCTTTGGCCATGAGGATCACATCTGTGGTCCGAGGACAACACAAGAGCGCGTGCTGTTCCTTGCTACCTTCGGCTTCGCGGCCTCTTGTACGGTAGAAATAGCGAGGCTGTGTCCTCGAACACGAAATCCAATTTCGCGACATTATGCAAAGCCTACGCAAAACTGTAAAGCCCAAGATGTCATGCGATTGGCATTTGCGCAGTCTGCGAGGTGTACATGGATCTCAAAATCTCACGCACTGAGTTCTGTCATTCTCGGCCACCGACTCCAATCGACATCCGTGGGGAAGTCGCATGCGACCGATCTCCTTGGCAAGCAAAAGCCGGCGGCTGCTGATGGCAATGCCGCGGAGACCAGCACGTAAGCCCAAGAGTCCTGTGCTCGTTTCGTTTGGAGTGTTTCCACCGGTGCCCGCCCATTTTTGTCTGGTGGCACTCTTGCAGTGCTGTTGATGTACTTCTCCGTCGGGATGCTCCGGCAATGCCTGGTAGTCTTAACATCCTACATCGAATACTGCGAAAAGCTTATCGCCCCGGGGCAAGCGGCGCATTTTCGACCCGGAGAATCTCCGCGAAGCTCAACGCTGCGAGGAAGCACATGGAGGCCGTCCGTACCAGGCATCATGCAAGTTTTGACCGGCGTGCAAAGCCAAGTTAAAGAGTCTGTCAGAGTCCCGTGGCCACAGAAAATACGAAAAAGGATCTGCACTTGGCTAGAGCGGCTAGGGTCCTGGAGCACCCCCCTTTTCAAATCCTACAAAAGGGAGGAGATGCGTTACTGCAGGGACTCTGGGGGAGGCCTGAGCCAAGCTCTCAGCCCCCTCGGAGCATGGACTGCAAGAGACTCCAGCGTCGCCACACTCAGAAATTACTGCGATTGCGGAGGACACGGCGAAACACATCGAGAAGTAGAGAATAGCCAGAACACAGCACATCGACTGAGACCCATAACGTTACGCTCAGTTCCACGACATCCCGAAACTCCCGTCAAATCGGTCAATATGACCATAGATATGGAATATCGAGCCCGTCCTTCCAACGGAAACACCCCGCATCTTTCCGTACTTCCGTTCTGTTCGTCCCGGCGGCATGGTGGGCACGCTGAGCTCCCCTGAGGAGGTCTCCAGGCTCCTGTCACTTCATCCTTTAAGGGTTTCAGGCGAACTTGAAGACTCTTGGGATGCTTGGTGATTCGAGGGCACTTGAGGCCCCGGGGCACGGCTTTGGCCATGTGGAGTCGTCGGAATGTCTATTGCTTCTGCAGCGGAAGCTTTGGTGCAGCAGAATCCCTGCGCCTCCAAAGATCCCTCACATCTTCTGTGCCCGCCTCGAGCAGCTTGGACCCCAATGCCAACAACCTTCTCCGAATAAAAAATGACACTCGTAAACCACACTGAACTCACTTGGCTCAACCCAGGGTGGAAGGTCCTCCACGACAGACTCGACGGTGGTGGGGTCTTCCTTCGCTGAATATGGCAAGGACCAGAGCGAGCCAAATCGTCTTCATTGAAAGCTACGCCAAGTACCTCCGAAACTAAGGAACGGATCCTACGCTGAGCCGTCCAAGTCCCGCACCCACTCCACCGAAGCCGTCGCCTGTGAGCTCGCAGGCCTCGGGCGGGCAATGTCCAGCTGCTACAACATGTATCGCAGCCCACTTCACTTAGCAACACTGGCTTCACAAAATCTCGAAACTACGCGTCGCAGAGACCCACACGCAGTCGTGGACTCGGAGCCGCCAGTCGGCGGCCTGTGTCGTGTGTCGAAGATTCAACCCCGACACAGCGTTGTAGAGGTACCCTGGGCAAGAGCTGCCATGCAAAAACATCATCCCCACAGCGCCTGTGATCCACACCTGACGATGAAGCGCCTGCCAGCACTGAACACCCATGAATTCAGCCGCTGGGGGTCTCGGGCTGCAAGCCTTTGCAAATGCAAGGCTTCCTTGCATTCTGCGCGTGCAAAAAGATACAAAAACTCTCGCCTCGGCTCAGTGGCTCGCCACGTCTGGCGAAGTGTGCACCAAGCTCCTGCTGTCAGCCACAAGATCATCCTCGCTCCGAGACGAACAAAGATCAAAAAGAGCCCAAAAGCAGACTGCAAGCGTGGTACCATGCCACGCTTCAGCCGGACTACAACAAACCACCATTCCAATCGAAGCGCCACTTCCCGTCAATTTGCTCGACTCTTGCTCGACCTCTAGCTCTCGGAGCTGCTCGTCGAAGTCGTCGTCTTCGTCCTCCTGCTTTTGACTTGTGAGGCTATGCAGCGATGAACTGAAGTGCATCCGACGATGCAAACGCAGGAATTGGGGTCTTGCAAAAGATGGTAGGAAAGTGCATGTGCCGAAGCAAAGAGAAAAAGACTGTTGAAAGCAAGAACCTTCTGGCTACGTGTTGACAAGGCCCTCGGGCTCTGTTTTAGTGCGAGTAACAAACGCTCTGATGAACATCTCCACGTGTTCTATACATACATTCATTCATTCATACATGACAGTACATTACGCTACACTAACAAATGCATATAAACATACATACAGACATACCTACATACATACATGCATACAAACCTGCATGCGTGCACCGATACATCCATCCATCCATCCATCAATCCATGCATGCATGCATGCATGCGGATAAATACATGTATGTACATATATATATATATATATATATACACACATATACATATATACACATCTATGTACATATATACATATATATATATATATATATACATATATATATATATATATATATATACAGATATACAGATACACATGTGTATATATATATATGTATGTACATATGTATACATACATTGTACAAAGGTACATATATATATATATATATATATATACACATAAATCTATAAGCATAAGACCGTATAAAAACATAAACGAAAATAAAACCTATACACATGTAAACATGTACGCATATATACGTATATACATATGTGCACATATGAATTCTCATATACATATACACATGGACATATACCTATACGCACATATGTATAAACACAGGTTGAACACGTATATGCACATGTACACAACACACCATATATATATATATATACATATTTATATATATGCAGACACATAGATCTACAGAAATATATATATATATATATGTATATATATATATACACATGCCAGATATACTCATACGTGCCTTCCTACCCACACCTGGACCTATACATACACCTACATGTGAATGTAAATACACATACACATAAATATGCACTTGCATATACCGATACATAAACATAGACATACATATATAAAGACATGCACATCAACAGAGACATGAACATATACATACATGCATATGTAACCATATAAACATAGTTATATATATATATATGTATATATGTATGTATGTATGTATGTATATATATAT